TCCATCCACCCATCCACCCACCCATCCATCCATCTATCCACCCACCCACCCACCATCTATTCATCATCTAACCACCCACTCATCCATCTATCCATTCAACGGCAATCTGTTCCCAGGTGGACTCTGAGCTGAACACTGGGATAAATACAGCAGTCATTGCCCAGCCCACCCCAGCCATGACCCCTGCCCCTTCACCATACCCACCTCTATGTGTGCAAGGCGAAAGAGTGCAGACATCAGCCCTTGGCCCAGCCTGTCTCTTCACCTTGATCCTGGCAGCACAGCAGGTACTCATGTGTCCACACATGGATGGCCCAGCCCAGGTGCCAAACTCTGCCAAGCCCCCCCAGGCTGCTGTGAGCTCCCCACGCTTCAGTCTAAGGGAGCTCACGTCAGCCATGAGGCAGCCTCCCCCAAGAGGATGGTACTAGAAAGAGCCACATGCAGCCCTGGGAAGAGGCTTGGTGCTACCTGGGCAAGGAGTTCTGGGGTCCTGGGCACTGGAGCATGGTCTTGAGAGGGTGCAAGTTCCAGGTGGGTGCATCCTACCAACCCCACATTTCCCACCCTGGGGAAGGGGTGCAACTGGAAGAGGGCCAGAGAGAGGTGACAAGTTCTGGGGCCTAGGATAGAGCTTCCTCGCCTGGGTCTGAGGGCTACACTGCTTTCCATAGCCCCTCTCAGCCTCCAGGACCAACTCAGAGAGCCCACGGTCCCTCCCCACCCTCTTTCTCTGCCTGGGTATGCTTGCCCCCCTCTGCTCAGGAGTGAGTCAGTACTAGGGCCTGGAGGATTCTGTCTGCTGAAGGGTGGGTGGGGCATCTTCGACTCCCCGAGTTTGCCCAGCAGTGGGGTGAGTCAGCGGCTGACCCAGCTCTGCCTGGCCAACTTCCCCGGGGTGTGTGAGGAGGACAGCAGATCAGTGCAGCCGGTCTGACGGGAATCGCTGAGCCACAGTCTGGTTTCCTGTCTCCACGGGTCAGGATGTGACCCTGGCCCCCCTCCCGGAATCCAGGCTCCGGCCTGCCCTTTGGGGACCCAGTGAGATAAAGCCCCTGCCCAGCGGCTCCTCATCTGTCTGCAGACCTCCCTGCCACACACTTCACATGTGTACAGGCAAGTGTGTGCGCACATGCGCACACACACACAGACACACACCCCCTAGGCTACCACTGCTCATTTGCCGCCCACCCACAGGATATCTGAGGATTCTGGGCCACGTAAGCATGGACAGGAAGGCCATCTCTTCATGCTAGGGTTGAAGAAGGCAGCCATAGGCCGTGAGGGATCAGGTTGGCTGCTGCAACAGCTGTCAGCCAGGCTTCCTGCCCCTGGGACTTTGCTCTTGCCGTGTCCTCCACCTGGAATGCCATTGGTCTCTGTGGCTGACACTGAGGCCCCTTCCCTGCACGTTTGTGATCGTCCCTCCATCGCCCTTGCCCCGATGCCCCCATCGCCAGCCACATCACTCAGCGATTCACTCATCCTCACCTCCCCGCCCACACAAGGCTCAGGGGAAGCCCGGCTCTGCTGTTCTCCTGTGTGATCGAAGCCCAGCACAGGCTGGGTAGAGTGGGACTGTTGGGCCATAAACCCCACTTTTGGGGCTGTCTGGGGAGCAGAGCACCTCCCAGGGAGGACCGAGGGCTCTGCCTTGCGGCAGGGAGGCCAGGAGCCTCTGGAGGGAGACTCAGCTCCATGAGCTGGACCTCGGCTGGCCCTTCTGAAAATGGATTCACAGCCCCTGCCTCATCTACCTCGTAGTCATAACCTCTGAGGTTCAAATTAGTCAACTGATGTGAAGGCCAGGTTCTGCAAAGACTCTGTAGCCCAGTAGTTAAGGGAGCCTGATCCCACATGGCCAACCACACTTCAAATCCCAGCCCCAGTGGCTTGAAAAACATTCCAGCACATGTGTGCACATGCTCCAAGTCCCGACAGGATGGAGAAATGAGGAAAGTGATGGTGACTATACCCCATTGGAGGGTGCTTTCTCTCTCTCTCTCTGTCTGTCTCTGGAGTACACACATGCCCAATTAAAAATAAACAAATAGGAGCCAGCAGATGGCACAATGGTTATGTGGCTGAACTCCCACATGGTTGATCATGGTTTGAGACCCAGATCCAGTGGCTTTAACATCATGCTGGGCACATGTACATGTGTGCCCAAGATCCCAGGAGGAAAACAGAGGAGAAAGGATTATAGCATGGCCAGCCCCCCGGGGGATGAGGTCTCACTTTCTGTCTCTCTAGCAACTGCACATGCCCTATGGCAAAAATCTCTCTTAATAAATAAATAAACAAATAAGGACCAGCAGGCGATGTGGTGGTGAAGGTGCTAGACTCCCACATAGCTGGCCAGGGTTTGAGCCTTGGACCCTGAGGCTTGAGAATCATGTCAGGTACGGGTGTGAGTGCCCAAAATCTCAAGAGGAGAATGGAGGAGAAGGGACTGCAGCAAGGCCATTCCCCTGAGGTGTGGCCTCACTTTCCCTCTTTATCTCTCTAGTGAATGCACGTGCCCTATGGCAAAAACCTAATGAATAAATAAATAGGGCTTATCCATTAAGATATTTAAAAAGATATCCTGTAAAATGTAACACCCTGGCAAACCAAGGGTATTTGCAGGTGAGAAACGGAGCCCAGCTAAAGCAGTAGCAATACCCCCATCACAACTACCATGCGTGGAGCAATGGCTCCGGGAAGGCCCTGCATGCCCTCTTTTGCCTGCGTTACCTCCCTGGAGCCTAGGATAGCCCTGTGGGGAAGGTATCATCTCTATCTCTGCACCAGAAAGCCAAGGATGGGCGAGGTGGCCCCAGGCGACACATGCGAGGGGCTGGCCAGTAACAGATCCAGGGCTGCATCCCGGGTCTCTCCACCCTCTCCTCAAACACAGCCCTTGCAGCCCTGGAGCTTGCAGCCTGGCTCCTTAACTCAAAGTCGGATGCTCTGCGGGCTGATTGTCTGGAAAAGGCTGAGGATGACAGAGAGATTCTGTTGTCATGAATCCTAGGGTGCTTTGGCCCTGACCTGAGTGACAGTGGCATTCTGCCAGCCCTTAAAAACCCTCCAGTGGGTGCCAGCGGGTAGCATGGTGGTTAGGGGTACTGGACTCCCACATAGCCAACCACAGTTCTAGTCCCGGACCTGGCGACTTGCTTTCTCACTTTCCCTCTTTCTCTCTCTCTCTGTTCTTCTCAGATGAAATTTTAAAATATAATAAATAAAACTAAATAAAATAATTCTTTAAAACAAAACAAAACAAAAAACCAGGGACCAGCAGTTGGCATAATGGCTATGTTGCTGGAATCCCATGTAATTGACCGTGGTTCGAGTCCCGGATCCGGTGTCTTAAACTCACGCCGGGCGCACGTGTGTGCCCAAGATCCCGAAAGGAGAATGGAGGAGAAGGGCTTGTGGTGTGGCCATCCCCCTGAGGGGTGGGGTGGGTGGGTGGTGATTTCTCGCTTTCTGTCTCTCTGTCTCTGTCTTTCTAGTAAGTGCACGCAACCTATAGCAAAAACCTTTAAAAAGAAAAAACAAAACCCTCCACCAGTCACCTGCATCCTGGTCATACTGCATCTACTGTTCTTGTCCCCCATAGAGACAGGGACACTTGGCTGGGGGCCCTTTTCTGACCCTGGTCCACTATTGAGTGATTGGAGTCCGGGGACTCCAGTCGTGCAGAGGAAGTACGGGAACCCGAACATTGGAACAAGTGAACTTGCAGAGGACAATCGTATTTTCCGTATCATTACTAAATTCGAAAAAAATTACAATGTCTGTAAAAACCACATAAAGTGTGTCTGGCGCTATCTGTGGTTTGGAGACTATCAAAGCCCGCAGTCCTCATCAGGGAGCAGGGCCCCTCGATATTGGTGGTCTGGGCACCTTCTTATCACCACACAAATGCAGGGCCGCTTAACAGTTTTGGAGGCAGGCTGGCCACAAATTCACTCCGAGCCAACACCACCAGATGGCTCCCAGAACCTCAGGCAACGTCAGCCAGGGGTGGCCTCCAGCCCAAGCAGGCCTGAGGTTGCTAGACACTGAAATCCACCAGGAGTCAGCAGTCAGTCCGGCCCTGGAGCACCCCGGACCTGGTGTGGACTCTGGCCGTGGGCACAGCACTTCATCCCTCTAGACCAACCTGTTTCCTCCTCTGAGAAGTGGGGCTACCTGCCAGATGAGCCCTTGGTAGGCTTAACACACGGAAGATGCTTAAGTCCTGGCATACAGGAGACCTGAGCATGGGACTGAGAGCACAGCCAGTACTCAGCTAATGTGCTCTTATTTATTTAAAAATTTGCTGTAGGGTGCATGCACTTGCTGGAGAAAGAGAATAAACCCCCTAGGGAGATGACCATGCCGCCATCTTTTCTCCACCACCCTCTTTCAGGATTTGAGATATGCATGCACACATGCCCAGGGTGTTTTTCAAGCTCCTGGGTCTGGAACTCAAACTGCACAGTTGGCCATGTGAGATCCAGTCACTTCAACCACGACACCACTGGCTGGCCCTAAGTGTCATTATTATCAAGAAGGACAAACGTATCAAACAAACAGATGGTGCCCTCGAGAGAGCTCTCCGGGGGAGAACAGTCTCCAGGGAGGCTGTCTGGTGGGGTCACAGATGTTCCATCAGAGATACTGCACGGAGGAAGATCGGGGATCACCTGAGGACTTTCTCGGTCTGAGCTGCGTCCTCTGAGAGGCTGGGAGGTTCCTATCATGCGGTGCACAAGCAACAGTCCACCTGCTCTGCCCCACAGCCCACCTGGCTCTTCTCTGCTCAGTCACCAGCACTCCCCACCGGGGTCCAGAAGATCGCCCCCATCCCAGACCTTGCTCCCAGAAATGCCACCCCTTATGGCCCTTTGAGATACCCTGGTGAGACTTGGCCACTGCCAAGGACCACCACAGGGAAGGTGTCCCTCGTCCCATTGGCCCCGGAGTCCCTCCTGGGTCCCCACCCTTCTCTAACACAAAGCACTCACCTCTGGGAACTCCAGAAAGAGGACGTGGACTTCGAGGACAGCGTTGGAGATCTGAGCCACACAGCCCTCGGAGACCTGGCTGGTGGTATACGTCACCTTGCCCATCTCGGGGTCCACAGGCTGTAGGTCACAATGAACTGTTTCCGCAAGACCTGTTGGGGACACATAGCTGGAATGAAGGCCAAGTGAGAAGGTCGTGACCACTACCTTCAGAATACCTGCTAGGTACCTGGCGTGGGTTCAAGGCTTGTGTCCTTGCAGCCATCCTATGAGATAGATATTACTATACCCATTCCACGGGCGAAGACATCGAGGCTCAGGTAGGAAGTCTTTTTACCAAGGCCACAGTGATAGCAGGTGTAGGGTTGACAGATGAAAGACAGGACACGCCTCTACATTTCAATTTCAGATAAATAATGAATACATTTTTAAGCGCACAGATAGCAGCCCTAATCCAGAAATTCAAAACGCTCCCAAATCTGAAACTTTCTCAACATGCACATTATGCCAGGAACGGAAAATTTCATACCGGACCTCATGCGATGGGTCATAGTCAAAATGCGACAATACAAAAACAGTGGATAAAATTATCTTCAGGCTGTACATGTAAGCTACATATGAAACATAAATAAATATCGTGTTAGGGACCAGAGACATGCCTTACAATCTTTTCATTCCAGTTCCTGGAATTTAACTGTACTTAATCAGTGTTTGATTAACACATAAAAGAATAAGTGATAGTTGTTAATTCTTAGAAAAAGAAAATTGAGTTTTGACTTGGGTTCCATCCCTAAGATATCTCATTATGTTTATGCAAATATTCGCAAACGTTTTTCCTCAGTGGGCCAGTAGGTGGGATGATGGTTAAGGCACTGTATTCCCACATGATCAACCCTGTGGGTTTGAGTCCCAGACTGGGTGACCTGAAAGCGCACTGTGTGTGTGTGTGTGTGTGTGTGTGTGTTATGTGCCCCAAATTCCGAGGGAAGAATGGAGAAGAAGAGATTGCAGCATGGCCAACTCCCTGGGGGTGATTTCTCTCTTTCTTTCTCTCTCCAATGAGTGCATGTGCTCTATGGACAAAAATCTATAAAAATAAAATTTAAAAAATTCAAAATCACTTCTGGTCCCTTATTCTGGTACAAATAAGGAACACTCAACCTCAAGTACATCCCAACCTCTGCCAGGGATATTCTTATACCATATAAATGTCCATTGCTTTCCTGAAATTCAAATGTAACGGGACATCCTATATTTTTATTTGCTACATCTGACAACATGGGTGGTAGGGCCCACACACAAGCCCAGGCCTCAAAGCTAGTTCACGCGGAAGGAAAGTGGGAGCTGAGATGGACACAAGTCTTCCCCTCTTTTGCCTCAAGGTGCCTGGAAGGAAGGGTCCAAGGAAGGTCGAAAGTTCCTGGCCCTGGGGCAGGGTGAGCCGAGAGGGCAGCCCAGGCTCAGAGCAAAGCTGCTAGAGCAGGCCCCAAAGCCTGGTGTTGGGCGTCCCGGAAACACAGGTCCTGAGGGAAAGGAATGGAATTTCACTCTGACCCAGCAGAGGAGGAAGAGGAAATGAGGCCCCTACACCTCGTCCTAAGGAATGTGCTGGAGAAGGGGGGCTCCGGAAGAGGGAAGGAGGAGAGAGAAGGGGAGACTGTTTGGAAGTTTGTGTCTCCATCTTGTCGCGCTCACTTCCTGTTTTCTTGGAGATCAAAGATGGGCCAGAGGGACTGGCCTCAAGTCCAGCCGACGCCAGTTCAGCTTGGAGGAGGTGCAGGGATGCTGCTTCGGGACCGGCTGCCTGTAGCCTAACCTGTCCCCTCCCCACCTAGCCACAGCTTATTGGGCTGGATCCCTAGAGGTCAGAGAAACATGGAAAATGGCCACCCCTCATCATGGCAGCACCCCCACCTCTGTGTTGGGAAAGAGAAGAGGAGACAAGGACATTTGGCTACTGTGGGACCCAGATCTTGTACGTCTTTGCTCTGCCCTATCCTGAGTGACCCAGTGAGAGGTTTTTGTTACAGGGTGCGTACGCTCACCAGAAAGACAGAGAGAGAGACAGAGACAGGAAGTGAGAAATCACCCCCCGGGGGGGCAGGGATGGCCACACTATAATCCCTTCTCCTCCCAGGATCTTGGGCACGCACGCACACGTGCCCAGCATGAATTTAAGCCACCATAGCTATTATGCCAACTGCTGGTTCCAACAGTATGGCCATTAAAAAAATAAAGAATTACTGTTATTTAATTTTATTCATTGTCATTATTATTATTATTATTATTGTTATTGGAAGTTGAGCAGAGAAAGAGAGAGAGAAGCAAAGTGAGAAAGCAAGCTGCCAGGTCCGGACGTGAACCACAGTCAGCCCTGTGGGAGTCCAGCCACTTTAACCACCACACCACCTGCCATCCCTGGCAATAGGATTCAAAGCGAGTCCCTGAAGCCAGGCTGACCTGGTTCAACTCTCAGGCCCAGCGCTTACCAGAGGTGTGACTTTGGTGAATGACTGCACCACTTGGGGCTTCGGTTTCCTGGTCTATAAAGTGACAAGAATAGAACACGCACACTCCCTTGAGGTTGTTGGGAGGTCCCCATGAGACAGTTCTCTTTATTGGCTTTAGTCATTGTAGAATTGCTTGTCTGAGGGGTGAGAGAAAGTGGTGAGACCGGGCAGGTGAGGTCTTCTGGGAGGGCGGTCACCAGGGTCTCCCTCAGCCTAAAAGGCTCAAGGGATAATGCCATTCCCTGCTTCTCAGCTCCCCAGTTCTGCCAGTCCTCTTCCTTCCCCTACCAGCCAGCATGGGCTACATGGCTTACACTTCATGCCCCTCCTGCACGGACAGGGAGACTGAGGTCCCCAGACGGAACACACAGTCACCCAGCACTCGGTTAACTGCACTGGACTTCAGACCAGCCTCTTCTCACAGACTGGTGGTCTGTCCTCCAGATTAGGAAGCCTCCCTCCTTCCCTTCAAGTTGCCCTGCCCCCACCCCAGACTTCCAGGAACCCCAGTTCCTCCAGGATTGCCTGGGGCGCCCAGGCCACCTCCTCCATGCCGTCAGCCAGCGTCAGCCAGCGGGAGAGGCCGCAGGCCTGGCCATTATGTAATGATCAGATAACACGCCAGGCTGGGAGATCAGATAAGAGGTCCATTTATTTTGGGGCCTTTTAGAGTCCTGGCCACCCCCACCTCGCAGACGAGAATGGGGAGACAGGCGGGAGTGGGCCCTGCCCCCCAGCCGGAGCCGGAGCCCGAGGCGGGCCCAGACAGAGCCGAAAACAATCCCCTGGCACCAAGGGAAATGCTGGGGCCTCCTGGGACCACTCAGAGGAGGCGCCACTGAGGGCCTGGGTGACCAGGGCCCCAAGCAAAAGACCCCGGAGCCCACTCCCCACCACCATCCCCACCTCCTCCTTCCCTCCCCGCCACAAGCACATAGCCACCTCCAGGACTTTCCAAAGGCCACTGCCCCAGCACCTGGAGGTCACAAAAAGTCATCAGGAGCTAAATGACCCGTCAAACCCCAGACTCTGAGAAAGCCCAACTCCTAGGAGCCTCAGTTTCTCCACTCGGACCAGCAACAATCACAGCAGCTCCATCTTGCCGAGGCATTGTTTAAAAGGGATATACAGTGCCGGGAGTTCAGATCCTGGCCCAGACCTTCCAGTTCTACTCGACTTAACTCTCTTGGGCCCTCATGGGAGCTCTGGCAGGTGGGCAGTTACTGTTCCCAGGGAGGAAGCCAAAGAGCTGCCCGAGGTTACCAAGTCACTAAGTGCTCAGGCCTGGATTCGAACCGATGACCTACTCTAGCACCAGGCAGGCCCTTTGCAGGCTGTGTGGCAGTTTGATGAGGTAATCTCTGCTTGCAGGCGCTCCAGACATGGTGACTGTGGGTTTGATTCTATAATCTCAGGGCAAGGGGTCCCAGGCCAAGTTTTTGACAAAAGCTTTTCTGCTGGAACCTGTCCCCTCTTCCGCAGCCATCCGGTCAACATTTACTCTTTTTGGGGTCCAATCGCAGCATCACAGATTTCCCAGCTTCAAGCTTCCCCTGCCCCCAGACCACCAGGGCGGCCTCTGGCCTCACCAGTCCTTTGCTTTTGGCCCCTCAGTGACTGCAAGGTCAAGTTCACGCACCGCAACCTACAGAGGAGTTTAAAGTGCTGGGACCTACAGAGGCCAAGAGTTTGGATCTTGGTGCGGCCACCTCCCAGCTTCCTTCCCGTGCCTCAGTGTTCTGAGCTGTAAGATGGGGAGGCTGAACATCAGGCCTTCCTCAGCGACTTGGCACACTGCACGGTACTAAGTGGGCTCCTGCAGAAGGATCACTCAGAAACTGGCGGCTGCTGTGCGATTATTATGCCCAGTCAGCGGCACATGCAGCCTTACCCTCCAACCCACCTTGGTCCCTGCCATTTTTTTCTGCCATAGGGCACATGTGCTCACCAGAGAGGAGAGAGGCAGAGAGAGGGAAAGTGAGAAGTCCCCCTCCCGGGGGGTATGGTCATGCTGCAATCCCTTCTCCTCCATTCTCCTCTTAGGATTTTGGGCACGTATACACATTTGTCCAGTGTGATTTTCAATCCACTGGGTCTGGGACTTGAACTGTAGTTGGTCATGAGGGAGTCCAGCAATGTTAACCACCATGCCACCTGCTGGTCCCACCAACAGTCATAATTTTTTTTTAAGAGGTTTTTGCTATAGGGCGCGTGCGCTCGTCAGACAGACAGACAGAGGCAAAGAGACAGAAAGTGAGAAATCACCCCCCAAGGGGGATGGCCACGCCGCAATCCCTTCTCCATTCTCCTCTTGGGATCTTGGACACACATGCACACGTGCCTGGCGTGAGTTTAAACCACCGGGTCCGGGACTCAAACTGTGGTCAACTATATGAGAGTCCAGCTACATAGCCATTACGCTAATTGCTGGTCCCAACAGTCATCTTTTATTTGCTGTCCTGGCAGACTTCTATTCATCCTTCAAAACTCCGTTGTGAAGGGAACCAGCAGTTAGCGTAATGGCTATGTCGCTGGACTCCCACGTAGTCGACCGCGGTTCATGTCCCGGACCCGGTGGCTTAAAACTCACGCCGGGCGTGTGTGCGTGCGTGCCCAGGATCCCGAGAGGAGAATGGAGGAGA